AAAACAAAGAAATCTTTTTTTTTTTGGTAAAAAATCCCTTTCCAAACAAGGATTTAGTTAATTTGAAAAAGTATTTATTTATATACAACGGGTATAATAAATATGTGTCAATTTATAAGTTAGATATAAATTAGGGTGTAAACGGCGGTCATTAAGTACCTAGTCGAAAAAAAGGCACAAGTGCTTTTATGGAGTAATAGAGTGGAACCAAATTAATGAACACAAACGTGATTAAGTAGCGCTTTCCCAAAAATGCAGGGATTTCCGAATAACCCATCGCAATCCCACAGTGGTTAACAAGTTGATTGAAAATAAGATGTCTAAATTCATTGTATAGGAGAAGATATGATATGGTACCTTTTTAATGCTTTGAGGAAATCGTTGATCAATTAAAATGCTGTGCTGATGCTAAATCTATATTGAAGTTTAGAGATAGGGACATTAGAAAGCAGACAAAGGGAGACACATGACGCAGAACGTTGAGGCCAGAATTTGTCGCAATAGTAGATCATAGGCTTTCTCACTCACTAGGGGTATTTCCCTCTTTTTCTTTCCTCCTACATTCTATATAGAACTGTCAGAGTGGGTGATTTGGACGAATTAGAGTTGGTTAAAATGGATAATGAATATAAGTGAGTTAATTCATTTATACCTATTTAATTGGGCAAGTTAAGAAATGAATTAGATAATCAAATTACCTATTTATAACCCATTTATTTTAACTTTTTATAAACTCATTTAAATTCATTTTTGCAAACTAAGTTATCAATTTATACCACCATTTGCACCCATCATTAGTTTTAAATATTTACTTATAATGTTTAATAAGTCTAATTACTAATTTTTTTCCATCCGTACTCTATGTCACAAAATTATATTCTATTTAGTAATTGAACAATAAGAATATAAAAATTTGAACTAAATACTATAAAATTTAACATAAAAACTTAATTAAAAAATTTTAACTCCTAGCATTTTTTTCGTGTGTAAATTTAAAATTTCATTTTGAAAAGATAGGAAAAGAGACTAAAACTTGTCATAAATTGAGCAAGTTAACAAACTAAGAGAAAATAAAATGATAAGATAAAACAATAAATAATAATAATAAAATAATGAAACAAATGTAGTTAACATCGTGACAATAAAAATTTTGAAAAAAAAAGAGGGTGGTGAGAGAAGAGAGGAGACCTGGGGAAGATAATTCTAAATGGGTTAATTCGGTTGAATGAATTACCCACTAATATCTATTTAATTATTGAGTATTTCATTTATACTAATATGCAAAAATTTAAGATACCCATACCAATATATTAATGGACAAGTATGGATAAATTTAGTTAAATGAATTTGTTTGCTACCTATAATTCTATCTTCCTTTTTATTTATTTATTTCTTTTTTCTTTTTTGAAAACCAAAAAGGAATATATCCCAGAAAAAAAAAAAACAATAAAAGTGGAAGCAAAGAGAAGATTATAATGCAATTAAGGCAAACACAACACAGTTGATGCCTGTGTGAAGGTGGAGTGCAGGTGCCTGATTTCATCCATAGAAGGGATTGACATCAGTCATGTTTACACAGAGAAGGAAACTAAGCGGCTGATGCTCTTAGGAAAGTTATTAGAATGTGATCAAAATGTTTCTTTTGTTTCGAATTCGATTAAGGCCCCCTCCCCCCCCCCCCCCCCCACCCAAAAAAATCATGTCCATTCTGGATGGAGACGTTAGGGGCATGACTACCCACGCTTTGTAAATTAGTACTAGTTTAATATTAATGAACTTTCCTTTACTGTTACCACCAAGAAAAAAAAAACAGAGACCCGCATTCCAAGTTCCTTCCAACCAGCGTACTGCTACACGGTATCTTTACAGCAACCACATCAACTATGCACACGCGACCCGAGCTGTGAGTACAACAAGGGCAAAAGAATTTCGGTGGCTATAGATTAATCTTTCCTGCACTGACAGTGTATACACGCTGATGAATGACAACTATGCAAAATTTGAATTTAAAATTCAACTTTTATACACATGTCATGAATCGAATGATAATAGTATATACACCGTCAGTGCAGGAAAGATTTACTCCTAAAGTATAACCCCCATCAACTTTTAATCATCAAGCAAATATTCGTCACAGATTAATCGCTAAACTAAGTAATTAGCGGACTCTTAATTATTACTCTTAATTTACAAAAATAATCAGAACCATATTTTGATAATAATAATAAAAAAAAACCCTTAGCAGGCAAATACGCCGTTGCATGCATTTTGACACATGTTCTGATTATTTTGTAGATTAAAAACAATAATATTCGACAAAATGGACACAAGTGTACTGATGCTTTTGACGCGAATAATAATTTAGCGGCGCCGAGATTTTTGGCCCATGTACAAAGCGGCTCTCGCTGTTGCTGCTACACACAAGAAGTCAACAACCTGAGTATACTGGCAATTAAAACAAGCATTGCCATTATTCCCTATGGGTGGGAATCGAGTCAGTAATGGGTTGGCAGGTCCGGTTAAGACCCAGGTACAACAAGAAACCTGCTGTCCCGAACACAACCCATCAATCCGTGACAAATCTAAATACCCGACCTGAGCACGAAATTTTCAGATTGGCAAGTCAGCCGAATGACCTAATATAACCTGAAACATAACTCCAGTTTACTAATTTATCATAATAGTTTCTAACACAGAATCAATTTCACTCAAGACTAATTACGTAATAAAGTAATAAAAATCTCGATAAAATAATCCCAAATCAGATCTGAAATAAATTAAAATACCGTAAGTGTTTTATCCTAAACCGAATATGAAATAAATTAAAACACTATAGAAGTAGAAAATAAATGTAATACATCCTCTATCCAAACATAACAACTCCAACCTCACACAAGTTAAACAAGTTCAATTAGGATTAAATGGTTAATGCCTTGGGAAGAAAAGAATAACTTATTTTAGTTAGATAAAATATTTTTTTAATAGTTATTAAATTATTTTGAATTCATAAACGGTGCCGACTTAAATCCAACCAGTTTTCTTTTCGAATTTATCAGGTTCCACTCAATTCTGAACCAAACCAACCCAAACGCATTAATTTCGTTTCAGGTTCGCGTCAGAAATTGACACCCCCATTATTCCCCCACCAGCACAAAAGCAGAGATACCTTGCACTCACAGACTGACGACTGTAAGCACCCAGAGAGCTTTCCCCTTTGATCTTTGGGCCTCATTCCATGACTTTAGAATCCAATAAACATGGAGAAACACATCCAGATTGCCTTCCCAGTAACGCCTATTAAATATATGTCTACGTGCCAGAAGCAAATCCGGCGCCAACAGCGATCCAATATAGGCACAACAGCCCGAGTGAGGAAACCACAGCACAGCAGTGAAATTGCTACTAAACACACACCAAAGAATATGATAAGATGATATGCCAACCCAAGTGGAATGATACAGCGCACCTTTCCAATAAACAACAACATAGAGATCTGCAAGAAATAAGTAAATTATGCCAAAACCCAGAAGCAGTGCACGTGTTACTGATAACACGAACATCTTTTTCTTTTTTTTTTCTTTTTCAGTCTTCTCCAAGCAAGCGCAGTAGTGGTCACACACAGAATAACAGTGGTATAGACAACTCAGTTTTTTATTTATTAAAAGAAAAAAGAAAGAAAGAAAGAAAGAAAGCAAGGCGTGCTGCTGCTACAACCAATACAAGTCCGCACTGGAAAGTTGTTTATCATGCCTTCTTTTGTGTGTGTAGGATGTTGAGCCGACATATGAACGGAACAAGTGCGGAGAGAAAAGATGGCCTTTTCCTTAAAGATGCCCTGCATTTGAGGATGGCCAATCCGGGCAGCCTTTTAAATCTAAATGGTTTCTCAAACTCAAGAAGAAAGGACAAGGTCCAATTTTTGCCCACCATGACTCTTTTGCATCGTTCTGACAAAATGTGGAACAATCTCAATTTTCCATTCTGTGCACAAAGCCAACCAGATTCCATCCAGATGTTTTCCTGTTCAAGCTACTACTACATGGCTCATAATATGTTACTAACATTAATGTATTGAGACGCAAGTTTCCTCTCAAATCACACGCTCGGTTCTCAAATCAACAACCTTATTCTCATTCACCAGCACGTATCAAACTATTTTCAGTAATAATATATTCTCAGTCCAAAAGCAGGCAGGCACGGGGAATCTATTCCTATTCAACTTAAGTGATGGCAGCAATAAATGTGCTCTTAAAAAGGTTGGCTGACGGAACACCTTAGAATATGTGATATGTATAACGCCAAATGATCAAAACTAGTAGCGCAACTTTCTTTTTCTTTGTCCCAACGATAACATTTCTATAACCTAATCTTCTATCCTATTCCACCACAGGGAGAGAAGCCTAAAGAGGCTGTATAAGTGATTAGCAGATATACAGACCTAATTATTCCTTTGAATTTTTTATAGCCCAAAGAGGGACTTAATCCCTTTCTCGTGGGTGATTAACTAGTAGTGCAATTGAGGCGCATATTTTCAGTTTCACAAAATATTTTATCCGTCCAGGATGAATGAGGATGATGATCTTGACAAGGGTGTCTTAGATTTGAGATTGGAAGCTAACACGAATGATCCATCCACTCGTGCAATGCCAAAGAGTATGTGATCCAGCTAATGCAATCACGTGCCTTTCACTAGCCAGCTAAATAATAATACAAATATGCTACCACAAGACAAGCAGTAGTCAGCAGCATCTGTTTGGCATCTCAAAAAGAAAGCCAAAAATTTCCACGACTATGCGGCCATCAAAACAACTACCATTGCCAATTAAAAAAAAAAAAAGCCTAATAACAATAATAATAATGAATCAAGGAGGAAATTCCCCTCCATTTGGCACTTGTTCAACAACACACACAAAACATTTGACTGATTCTGCTAAATAAGGAAAATAGATCATGACAGACAAAGTAGATGATCACCACTCGTATCATATGTTAAAATAAGAAAAAAAAAAAGGAAAAATATTAATCGATTTCCAGATTAAATTTCTCTTATACTACTACAACTAAAAAGATGGTTCCAATAAACGAAAGGACCAAAAAAAAAAAAACAACAACAACACAACGAGAGACAGAGAGATGGTTCCGATCTTTTGCTATCCAAGATTAAGTTAATAATAAAGAAAAATGACGTTAAATTAAACCTGAAACAGCAAAATTAAACATGGATAATTAGGAAAAGAAGGGGAAAAAAAGAAACAAAAGACAACGAGGTGCACCGGAATTGACCTCCATGATTAATCTGATAGCATTACATGGAACAGGCACCGGCAACGGCAGCAGCATCTTCTTCTTCTTGGTAGTCGTTCTAATCAGAAGAATTGCTATGTTCAGGCTTTCTGCAGAGAACCATATGCATAGGAGTGAAAATCCCGGTCTCACCACCTCTGGTGAGATAATCTGCGGTGACAAACAACATCTCGTGGACGTCAACCACGCCTTTGGGGGCAATCCCGAGCCAGGTAAGAACCGTCACCAAAATGTGGTTCCTCCAATAAGCAATCCTGCCCATCTTGAGCCGGGTCCACCAGGGCTTGGGGGGGCTTCGCTAAATCTTTCTCCTTGACCACCTCGAATCCCACCTTCTTGGCTATCTGGGCAATGTCCCTGTAACTCCTCAACCCCGGAAGAGCATCGCCCCTCTCAATCCCATGGATTATCTCGACGTGCTCCGGATTTTCCGGGTTGTAGAATTCGGTGGTGACCCATTCGTAGGAGACGTACAGGGATCCGGGCTTCAAAACTCGGTAGATCTCGCTGTAGACTTCCTCCAGATTGGGTGCATGGCAGGTGGCTTCGATGGAGTAAGCCCCGTCGAAGCTGCTGTCGGGGAAGGGCATTTGCAGGAAGTTGCCACAGACAACTTCGCACAGAGAATCGAGGCCGGCTTTCTCATTGTGCATCCGGGCTCGGTTTACCTGGTACTCGTTAATGGTGATGCCGACGACGTTGGCACCGGAATGAGCGGCGATGGCACGCATCGGGCCGCCGACACCACAGCCGGCATCAAGAATGCGGGCACCCTTCTTGACACCCAAGAGATCGACGGCCATTTCCTCGTGGATTCTGGTGGCGTCCCGGTAGGACTTGGGGATGGAGGGAGAGAAATGGAAGGACTGACCCCAACCCCACTCGTAAATGTCAGTGACAAGGTTGTAGAAGGTGTCGACGAAAGCGGGGACTTTCTCGGCGGTCTCGATCTCCTTGGGGCGGCCGAAGAAGGACCAGTACTGTTGTAGTTGTCTTGGACTTTCTCTTGTCGATGGAGCCGCCGGAGAGTTGGGCGGCATGCTTCCCTTTCTGTTCTGCGGAGCCCAGAACGCAGACGAACCAGTAGAGGCCGCCGGCGAGGAGGAAAGTGGTGCAGAAGAGGGTGAGAGAATCCATGGGTGTCGAGGAGAAGAGAGAGTGAGGAGTTGAGCCAGCAGGGGAGAGAGAGTTGGGGCTGTGTTTGGAAGGGGGGCGGGGTTTTGTATGATTAGGTTTGAGAGACTTGGGGCATCAATTGTTTCTCGTTTTTGTTTTTAAATTTTTTTTTGTTTTTTAAGGGAAAAAAAAGGAGAAAAGGGTATTATTATTATTTATTATAGGGTTTGACGCACTCGTTAAAATATTTTTAAAACAAGATCAACATTAAATTTAAAAAATGTATAAATATGATGGAGAGCAATTAAATTATATTGGTGTGTGTATTTATAGGAGAAATTGAGCAGAATTTATCAGTGTTACGGAGTCAAGCACCTTGAAGAACACTTGAGATCCTCGGTGACATATTTTCTATGCCAATTCAATGCCACCTATAGTATTGCGTAAAGTGTCCTATTATTATTTACACTTGTGTTAAACCAAATCAAGTTGAATTATTTGAAAATTAAAATGTAAATAATAACAAGACACTTTGCACAATACTATAAGTGGTATTGAATTGACATAGAAAATATGTCACCGAGTATCCCAAGTGCTCGAAGAAAAATGGCCACCACTTTGTTTGGAGTTTGGAATGGAAGAGGTTGGATTTTTGCGAGAGTACCCTTCTAACCTTGTGGCGTGTGGTGGTGTCTATGTGTGTCAATGGCGTTTGGACACGTCATTGTCAAAGTGTCAGCGGTTTAATTATAGCGGGGGTGGGTGGCACTTTGATTTTTTTCTCCTTTTTGTTATTTGCCTTTTTTCCTTGCTTTTTACAACCACAAAAAAAAAATTTAGTATTTTGTTCAGAACCGAGAGAGATTTGAAAAATGCCAATGGAGGGGGAGGATGGACTATGACACCATGTCATAACTTTCCACTGGTATCGGTAATCAAGTCATTTGTCCCACTTTTCCAGTCACAGGGACCGTACTATATACGTAACCAAAAGGCTAGAACGAAAAATAGAGAAGATAATCAAATGCAATATCATCATCAATAATAATAACTAGGGTGGGTTCTTCTTTAAGGCCTAGCAGAGCTATTCTACTAACATTTGCGTGGTTTCACGTCATTTTTTCGGGGTTGGATAGTTAAGTCCCCAAATTTGTCTCAAGAGTTGCCGGTTTTTGGGATAAAATCTGGAATTAGGTTTAATTAACTAACTTCAAAAGTCTGAAAAAAAAATCATCAATAATAATAATAATAATAACTAGTGCTAAGGGCACACTATGTGGACCCGTTTGGATTGTATTTTTCATGATTTTTCATGAAAAATTATTGTAGCGATTTGATATATATGGGAAAAAAATGTAATAGAAAAATGTGTAATTAATGATTAATGGATAAAGTTAATACTAGGTTAACTCCTCCAATTCTCCTCCAAGATATGTAATGATTGAGGTCCACCCATCAAAATAGACAAACAATCTGCGGAATCAATCGTTAAAAGAAAATATTAATTAAAAATAAATAATAAAGACTAAACTCTAGCATGAGTATAATAGAATTTAGTAACAATGATTGTTTTTCATAAAACTATATAAAATAGCAAAATCAAAGTAGTAAAGAGGAAAACTTGTTAATTTGGAATCAAGATTTACACGTAAAATTTCTAAACTCTTTGTATCAGAATTTGAAAGATGTTGAACAAAAATTGAACAAGACAATGTATGGCCATTTCAAGAAGAAAAAAAATCACAATATATGGCTAATGATGTAAAATATAAAATAATCTTTTGAATTATTTATTCAACTCACGAGGTCCATTATTTCACATGATTAACAAGAAATTTCCATCATTTGTAATTAAGAAAAAAATAAAGCAACTCTCAAGCAACATTTAGATTAATCAAAAGGATATGATTTTAATGGAAAAGCAAATAAATCAGAGTAGAATTTTTTTTTCTAACCATCTTGTTTGGATTACATATAAAACGAAAAGAAAAGAAACACCAAATATTTTGGAAAAGAAAGAAAAGAATAGATTATGTACAATTACATTTTATCCATAACTTAGTAAAATCTAATTGTAAACATATTTTAATACTTTACTCTCTTTTTGTGTATTTTCATATTCATCTTATTATTCTTATGAAAAATTTATGACATAATAACATTTGAACAGGAAGTTTAATCTTCTTTTAAGAGAAATAAATTACAAGAACTATTGAAATACAAAAAAAAAAAAAGATTCTTAAATGTTAACAATCATCATTATAAAATTTAATATTCAAGATTTTCAAATTTTTTATATATTCCAAATCATGGTTAATTTAGTACAAGTGACTCAATTGTTTCTCTCCATATAGACACGTAATATTTCCTAAGTTGTAAAGATAGTAAAGTCATTTGACCAATCACGAGATAAGCATTGGATCCCAAATAGCTTACAAGAGAGGTAAGTGATATTTTTTTAAACTTTGAAAGTGGGCAGTGAAATTGTTAGAAAACTCTCTTGAGGTTTCTGAAATTATCCCTAAGAAATTTTGGTTCCGCTATTCAAAGCTTGTAAGGTAGTTGTTGGTTTATCCTACCACTGTTTTACTTTCATTTTTCTTACCATGATGACGTTCATGATAGGGTGAGAAGGACAAGAAGCTAAATTCGTACCTCTACTCTAGGCTCTACATTTCACATCTTCCTTTTTGACTTTTTAAATTCATCAAGGGATCAAATGTCCACATTTACCATATATGAGTATGAAAAAAGACAACTAGCTCTCTGGGGGTATTGGGTTGGTAGGTACCACGTAGTAGCAGGTGCTTTACATAGCTAGTTTTCCGTATCGATTTTGGGAGGGGTTTGGATTGGGTAGTTAAGTTTCCTGGTTTGGCTTCAAGAGTTATCAGCTGCTTTTGGAGTTCAATCTGGGATTAGAGTTAATTTATTCAACAAAAGTCTATTATTGAAGTTGAAAAAAAAAAGTATGAATTTAGATTTTTTTTTCTTCTTCTTCTAGAAGGAAATGGGTGAAATTTAAGAAGTAATGAAAGTACTGAAGGGTATTTAGTCTCTCTTAAAGAAGAATTAAGGGGTGGGGTTTAGACTATTCCAGTTTTGCTTTTGATAGTGGAGGTTTGGATTTTTATCTTTTTATTTATGCGTCAAATTGAAAATGAGATGCCGCGAATTTGTACAGTATTCATTTATGGGAAGAAAATTCAATGTCGGTCATCTGTGACAACTTTTGCTCTCCGTTATTATCACTATTATTATTATTATTATTTTCCTATTTTGTGCTTTGGTTTTAGCTTTTGTACGCTAATTAATTTTTTTTTTTTTTTGAGGAGTTTGTACGCTAATCATTGTTTGGATTCGAGGTGTGTTCTTCCTTCTTTGAAACTCCTCAAGATTTGAAGGTGATTTTCTGATAATTGTCTCCTACTCTTTTGAGCTCTTTCCTTCTTTGAAAGCAAATATGCATTTAGCAACTAAGTACCTTCCATATTTATTAAAGAGGATCAAAGTGATTCCCACTTATTTTCTTGAATGACTCAAACACGTGATTGGAATCACTCATATCTGATAACCCAATTCAGATTTTAAATTTAATGAATTCAGATCTTAACATATTCAAACGCATTTGATAACCAAAAATCAAACATCTGAATTAATTAAGTAGCACTGAATTTTTAAGGTAAAAATTGCTCCCAAAATTAAGTGATAAGTTATTCACTTATCACTGAATGTGATGTACACTCAAATGTATTATATTTAATATTTAACAATTCAATAACTTAATCGATTCATATTTTAATTTTCATATTTTAATTTTATGAAACGCACCCTTAGTCAATCAAAACTACTAGTAATTTTTGTCATAATTAATACAAACAGTAATGTAAATTGATATTGGCTTTCTTGATTAAAAAAAAAAAAAAAAACAAATGGTTACATTGTAAAAAAAAAAATTTTCAAACATTTTACAAGGGTTTAAGAATATTGACTAATTTAAAACTTAATTTAGCAATCAAAAATTTTCAATTACTAATAAGCATGTAAATACAAATGTTCACATATTCCTAACTCATAGCCATATTAAATAGTATGCCTTGGTCTACTACTCATAGCCATGGAGAAATCTCTATTCCTTTTTGCTAGCATGGTCCGTTAAACATGCCTACATAATAAGTGGCCTTGAAGACCCAATTGTAGTTGGAAAATGAAAACCCCGGAGAGAGGGATACGGTACAGTCATATACCAATATTTCTCCTAGGCATGTTTCTTTACAAGTTTTGCCCTTCGACAATTATCAGATTTCTGGATGCTTTGCTGAGCGTAATTGTCTGGGTGGGGTGGAATCCTCTTTGAGGTTTGGCAGTAGCCTTCATTCTCCCAAAAACAATAGTAAAAGAGCCTTAAAATACATCAAACTAGTGTAAATATTGTGTCACCAAAATAAAAAGGGAGGGTGAATTAAAAAAAAAAAAAAAAGAGAGAGAAAGAAATCTGCCATTTTATGGAAGTTGGATCCTTGAAATAAAAATATGAATATATATTAGAAAATGAATGGTATATAGATAGATATAAATGTAATAGCATGTTTAATTTGATTTGAAAATGAAATACTTACAAATATTTAAAACACTCGATTTGATAATCTTATACGAAGATTCGAAAACATTCTTTACACCAATTAACCTTTAATACATAAGCCAATTAGTGGATTAATTAACATTGTTGAATTTTGTGGAGTTTATATTACAAATGAGAAGACACAATCTTTGCATGAATTAATCCGTTGTTGGTTAAACAACCTACCTCCATTTTTATAAAAATTAAGACCGTACAGAATTCAAAATTAGTATATTTTTACATAGTTTATAAATAATAGCATACAAAAATGAATACGTATAAAGAAATTCTTTCTTTCTTTGCAATTCTTTTAGATAAGAAGCATCACAACAAAATACAAACTGTGCATATCTGCATGCATGTCTTTTTTGAAAGTGAACTTCTCGTATCTTTTGGAATACTTTTTTGGGATCACTACAGTTTAGGTTTCGATCAGTTGTCCTTTCTTCTGCAATCTTGCAATTTTGGAATCGAGGCATCGTTGAAATGTTTTCTCCATGCTCAGACTATGATGCGTGCTGTTGTTTTTCCTTGCTTTGGATGGATAATAAATGAGAATAAAATTGGTTAGGGATTGTTAGTTTTTTAGAATGATTTTGTGTTATTAGTTATTTATTATAGAATTATGGGATTTATAATTCAAATGTGCTCCTCAAAATTTGCAGATACGATTTGTGTGTGGTGGTCGATTACTTGCATGATTTGTGTTATCAGTTACTTGGACCTTGGTTATTGAAGTTAGCTGGACCACTTAAATCTGCAGATGTGATTTTTGCGTATTGGTACAAGGATTATTGGCTATTTGGACTTTGGATGTGAGTTGCGCGCATTCTTATCCAGTACACGTTACTACCAAATAACAAGAAGGTCCTACATCTTTCTTAGAATTACTCTAACCCATTCACAAGTGCTTTCGCGTCCTCCATTTTTACATGAGGACCAGAAGGACCTCAGCCTTGATTTAGTGCAGAAAGTTCCTCAATTATTGTATTTAATTTTTTTGAATTAAAACAAAGTTTACATCACATAAATACTACTATTAAAGAAATGAATAATTTTTTATACACTACCGTCAGTGTATATATTATTATTATTATTGGATGTATAAAAATGAATTTTAATTAAAATTTAAAATCTAAAATTTTACATTTGTACCACGCAATCATCCAACCGTGATAATGATAGTGTATTCACTAACAGCGCACTGCAGCATCTAAGATCAACTCTTAAAAATAGTGATTGCATTATTATTGTGTGGCCAGAATGATTTTACTTAACAAGACAGAATAGTCAAAGCCTTTTTTTAGTCCTCAACCAATTGCTAATAGGATCCACTTTGTCCTTTTATTTTCTCATAACTGTGGATGAAAGAAGATGTGAACTACACCCTTTTGCATCCCTTGTCTAGAGTACAGATTCGGTTCCCTAATTCACGAATTCGTTTTCCATGATTGATGATGATGATCATGACCATGACTTTGTAGTTATGGTCATACGGGATGGTGACGCCGCAGCGGAAGCGTACCATTGAAAATAGGTATGCTTAGTTTAGATTGTATTTTCCGTCATTTTTTATGAAAAGATTACTGTAGCGATTTGATATATGTGACAAAAAAAAGTTAATATATGATCACAAAAAACGATGCAATTTTTTGATAGAAGATGAGTTATACCTTGCAGTGACCTCAACAAATTCTATTTCTTTTATCCAACCAATCCTATGAGATTTGGAACTAGGGTTGCAAACGAATCGAGCCGCTCGCGAGCCGCGGCGAGCGGCTCGAGTCAAGCTCGAGTCGAGCTCGAGCTCAGAATATTAAGCTCGTTAGCTCGCGAGCCGGCTCGCGAGCTTGAGTATATATATATATTTTTTATTTTTATTTAATAATAAAATTACGTATATTATATATATATTTTTTTATTTTTTATTTTCATAGTGAAATTATGGATATATCCTTAATATTTTATTATTTATTCAGAAAAAAATATTATTTTATTTATTTTTTTTTGAAAATAAAATATTTTTTTTTTATTTTTTTCGAGCTCGAGCTCGGCTCGACTTGATTCGAGTCGAGCTCGAGCTCGAAAATTGCCAGCTCGTCGAGCTCGAGCTCGAGCTCGAGCTTGGTAAAATTTAGTTGAGACTCGGCTCGATTAACTCAAAACTCGACTCGGTTCGGCTCGTTTGCAGCCCTATTTGGAACGCTCTTCAACTGGCAATTTTAACAAATTTCCTACGGTGGTGCTAGAGATAATATATGATAATCACCAGTCTGGGAGGTCAAGGTTTCGAACCTTACTTTCCATCAATTGCCACAATAAGAGACTCTTCTAAAATGTTCAGATGGGTGCGTAGTGCACCTGTCTGGTCCGATAATAGTTCAGTCTCCACCTGTTTTCTGCAAGTTCAATTGAGCCTCCTTTAGATAGATTAGAATATTGTAGGATATAGATAAAAAAACGCGAATGACAGAAAAAAAAAAAAAGAGGTAATATGTGATGATCATGATCATGATCATGACCCTGTAGTTATGGTCACAGGGGCGGTGAGGCGGCAGCGAAAGTGTACCATTCCAGATAGTTATAGCCATTCATACGGTGCCAGAGATGATGATATTTCGATAGCTATCACCATCAATTATCAAATCAAAGATACGATTAGAAATTCTGCACCTGATCCAAAATATTCGATTTCTCTAAGTTTCGTCTTACTTTGACGGAAGAAAGATTACGGACCACAGACACAAGCTGTCTGTTGTTATCCCTAAGATTAGAGAATTAATCCAAGACGACCCCCTAAAGTTATCCCTAGGATTAGAATTAATCCCAAGAGAACGATTCTCGTAAATAACAAAGGAGCGATTTACGATAAACTCTGAAAAAGATTTAGAAGAACTTTAATTTTTAAAGAAATTTGAGAGAAATTGGTAAAAAAATAAAAAATAATTGTTCAGATGCGTTTAATAAAAAAAAAAATTTGAACATCTAAATTAATTAAGTGGCAATGAATTTCGTAGCTAAAGAACTTATCACTGAATGTGATATACGCACATTCAGACGTATTAGATTTAGTACTTAACAATTCAATAATTTGATGAATTCAGATTTTGATTTTATCAAATGCACCCTTAAATAAAAATTTTTTTTTAAAAAAAAGTCAATGGGACTGGCCATTTTTATGACATAACTCACCATGATGATGGCAAGTCATGTGAGGTGGACACTTCAGGCAGCGCGACAATTTGTGATGTTCGATGTTCCAAATTCCACGACCTTGCACCATGCTTTGTTTTTCTCATTGCCTGGAAGGTATCATCTTTGGACAAATATGAGATTGTAACTGGTGGAGTTGCTGGCGGAGATTCTTGATTTGCCGGTCGGGCAAATTTGTCAATCGAGGACGCCGCCTTGCCGTCTCAATCTAGCGGAGGAGAGAATTTCATGAGGAAAAGGAAGTGGGGGAAGAAGATGGTTAAATATAAGGACAACTGGGTTCCAGCGGTAATTGGTTTGATTAGTGGAGCTTTGACCATTTGTCTTGTTGAGCAAAATTATTCCGGCAATAACGCCGCCCAAAGAGAAAACTTCAAAGGTGCACTGTGGAACAAACTGGCTGTCTGTCCTTGCCCGGAAATTGGAATAAGCTATTTGCTCCTGGAAAATACCAATTGCTTCTTTTTTTCTTTGGAATTTTTATAAAAAAAAAATATGCATTTCTAACGATTTAATCTATATAAAGTACCGGTAAAAAAGGTTATTGAGAAATGTGTTTACGAGAAATGTAAAAAATTCTTTGAAAAAAAAAAAGTAAGAATCCAAAAAGGACATTAAATTAAGCTAGAGTAGTGTTTGTATAGCTAATTTTTTTTCAAAATAAAATATTTCGCTTCCATCGTAAACACATCTTTATCTCACATACATCATATTACAAAAAGTGCTACTACAATAATTATTTCAAAAAATTACATCTTTATCCAAACACATGAGTATAAAACATAGTACAACGTTTGGATTTGTGCTCACCTCTTCACCATCATTTTACGAGAAGAGCCCAATCCCATGAAAGTCAGCAACTTTGCATTTTTTTATGTGACAGCAAGTCATTGCCAAGGAAAGAAAACAACAACACACGACTCTGGAGTTCTATTCTGGTAAACTTCACCATTTTGAAGGTTATGCAAGCACTCGCAAGGTTCAATAGCTGCTGGTAGTAATCAATTCTTGAATCTCAATCATACAGGATTTGGGATATCTGAACAGGGGCTCGCTTTATGATGTGCATGTAACACTTCAACTGCTGGCAATTGGTAATGTCTAGGTACTGAATCCCAATTCTTGCAGTCATGATAGTTAGTAGATCTTTATCAACAATAGTTGAACCAGAGAGATTCAAGATCCTCAAATTTGGAAAGCCTACAGCAAGAGCAGAAGCGAAACCTGGTTGCAAGAATCCATTTCTTCTAATCCCCCTAACTTCGGGACAGCAAGTGCTCATGTGTTCTAAAACTGTAGGAGTGAAGTACGGGGAGTCGGAGAAGTCAATAAGCTCTAGTTTTGGGCATTTGCTCATTACTTCCAAAATTGCTCCCTCAGTAGCATTGTAGGATCCATGAAAAGAAAGGTGTCTCAAGTTTGGGCAACTGCAAGAAAATCAAAATGAAACAGAACTGCAAGTTTGGGCACATGCAGTATGATAACAAAGCCTAGAAGGTGAAGTTGAAAATCCACAAAAGATAAGTGTGAACTTAATTGTGGCTGATAAGCTTCAAAGGAAATTACTGGTCCAGCAATTGATCACAAATGTACGCTATATGCATTGCAATTCATAAGAGCTGCAAAATTACATCCTGAACCTACTTTTTTACACCATTCTACTTCATATTTTGAGCACAGGAATCTTTCTAAGCTATCAATTGTAGAAGAGGGTATTGATGACCATACTGTATTGATGACTATACTATATATGCTTAGCAATCTTAAAACTGGAAGTGCATAGAGTTGCCCAGGGAATTTGCATCATACCAATTGAAACTAAAAAAATCATGCATTTGGAAAGCAAAAACGTCACTGAGATTACCACAAGAGTTATATCCAATACCGAGAATATTCATTGCACTCTGCTGCTTTTAAGTTGTACTACTACAATAGCTCATTCCCTTCAGAGCCGAGCTACACGATTTTCTTAGTAATGATTTTTTTTTAGCCCAAAGAAATTTTTCATATTCTAAGGACAAAGTGGAGAATCAGTTTTCTTTCAACAAATTTTAAGCTAGTTTCCAAAAAGTTCAGGCCACTCTGAACTCGTAAGAATGATGGGATTTCATCTAGAAATAATTTAATTTGGCTCTTTCAACATTCCAAATACTCGGTTCATCTTTCTTTCAAGGGAAAGCATCCAGAATTAATTACTGGAATAGAAAGTTCTTAACGTATCAGGAATGATATATAGGCAGCTCAGTCAATTAGCAACCTACTACTAACAGCAACTCAAAAAGTATTACTACTTTTCAACTGAACAAGGTATGAATTAAGCAAAGAGGTGACCTTTGTGCAATGAGACGAAGGAGGGCGTCATCATTGGGACGGAAAGCCTCGACACAAGTAAAGAAAGGGGAAGAAATAGAGAGAAGTAACGGCAGCTCCGCCAGCCGCTCTGGTAATCAGAGACCGGAGCATAGCAAGTCCGCCGGTCGGAATCGGGGCTGCGCCGCCCGTCAAAAGGGTCGTCGAAAGCGAGGCGGTCCAGACGACTATAAGAAGAAGAAGAAGAATGTTTGATGAAGGCATCATCAAAAGCACAAGCAGATGATGAGTGTTCGGCCGGGATCATAGAAGCCCAGCACCGAGGGTTGCGAGAAACGTCGGCCCACGATCTGCATACCAGAGGGAGGCTGCAAAAGCGATCTTTGATGGGGGTTCTGCAAAATATCTCCACTAGGGATGTGCTGGGTAGAGCATCCCATGATGCTCTTCTTTGCATTTCCTCCCTCCCTGCCCTTGTCGACCACCCAGCGCACAGCCGAACCAGTTAGAAAGTGCAACAACAGATACCTCACTGATTAAGAAGCATTATATTCAGATCAGAATAATTATCGAGGCTCTCTCCAATTCTCTGCCTATTTCCCTTTTCTTGCTCCGACAATTTCACCTTGGCTCAGTCCCTTTCTTTTTAAGGGGACCTTTCACTCACAATTCATGCCATGCCTGCCTGAGGATGTGGCTTCTTTCCGGTGCGTTGTTGTCTGTTTGGCAAAGGAGTTTTTTGTCAAGAAATGAGACAATCCCCCCCCCCCCCCCTTTTTTTCCTAATTAAGTATTTTTTATTGGAATCCCTCACTCTTCTTCGTACTATTCTCATTTTTTTCTCTTGAGGTCATAAGTTCGAGTCTCCGCTCCGCTGAATTCCTCCGCGCACTTAACATGTTCGGATCGAGTTGGGGCGCCGGGCCCGGATCGCAGGGGATTAGTCGGGTCCCGTAAAGATTGACCCGGACACCCCTATGTCGACAAAAAAAAATAAATAAATAATCACACACTAATAGATCTATTATTTTTTCCAATTCTCAATCGCACACTTTTTAGGGATTTTGGTACTTGAAATTACAATAATTTTAATACTGCGTGCTTGATCCAGTGCAATAAAAATTAAAATATTAGAATTATACCTTAAAATTTGATCATTCATGATTCCCAACCAAATTGAGAGGAATTGACCAAAATCCTTGTTACCACTAGACCTCTAGGAATTATTCCATTTCCCTTCCCAATTCCAAAGCAAGAAGAACCAGGCACCCCGCAATCCCACTTACATGTGCTGGGCCCCCTACTTTTGGTCTTTCCTTGCCGCTCTTGCCATTCTTGAGCAACTCTCTCTTATTTTCTCCCTTAATCACTCCACAATCACGGAATAATGAGGTAGCGGTCGATTGAGAATTGGGAGTGTAAGTCCAACTCAAACTCAGTCAAACCAAAATACTTCAGCTCGACTTTGACTTTATTTTAGTTTTGGTTTACTCGAACTTAATTGAGCCTAATTTTAAATAATATATAATTTAATATTTTATTTATACATTTTAAAACAAGGGATATAATAGACATTCTACATTAATAAGTTGTTTCCCACAGTACTGCTTAGCACCGAAAGGGCAAACAAGTCCACTGGACAAATGCTTGATGCCACTATTAGCGACACCAAACAAGTCTTTTAAGCAACCAACCCCTCTAACCAACTCCCAATAGAGGAGTTGGCTACCATCAAGCCTTTAAGGCTTAGTGGGATGGGAGGCAAGGTCATATCTTGTCTCTCACTAATTGACATTGCATCTCACCTTTGCAAACAAAAACACAAGTAAGGGAAGAAAGTAGTACCAACATATATGAATTTGACAGGCCCAGTGTCTCACTAAAGCACAAAAGTTTTGCTTGTGTGTCCCATCAGAAGAGAGGTACTCGCCTTCCAAAGGTTTGGAGAAGCTTCCGTACAGTGAACAATGATCTTCCTCATGCTTTCAAATTTTCCTTTTTTTCTTGGTCTGTGCATATGAGCAGACGCAATTTTAGCTATCATAACGAGGTGTTGAACTATTGTGAACATATTCCTGAACATGAATGCAATGGATACCTCCGGATAATATCTGTTTGGGGCTTCCCGTTTGCGCGTCACTCGCTTTGCTGTGTTCTGCAGTCCAAGTTTGCTGACAACATTAACATAAAAGTTTCACTCCACACTGCCTTCTGGTACGGGTGATTGTCCAAAACGGTTTCGCTTAATGAAATCTTGTACATTATCGGCACTGGCCAATTTCTTCAGGTGTCGTACAAAATCTCCTTCACGATCTGCAAATAAGTTTTGTATCAGGCCAATCTTTCACCCTGTGTAAACCTAGCAAAAGCCACATTTGAAAGCATCGCGAACCGCGTCTTACCCAAATAATTGTTTTCTACAGTGTAACATGTATAAGAGGTGGGGAAGATGGCATTGTAAGGCTGAAGAATGAGTAATACGGAAACAGTTTGCCCTGATCATGTTGTTTGTGCATACCGGAACATATATAACATAACGATCAGTGGGTAAGGTGCACTTACAGAATTAAGGAAGGATTTATACGGAGAATCATCGACTAATATCGTGTTAGAACTGTTGTACGACTTATATTCTCCCCACACTTGTTCAAGGTCCTTAAACATCACCTTTTTGTCTGGATTTTCCCAAAGGCTGGTTTGTGTCATAGTGCACCGCGACTGATCCTGCGCAATATTGATTGTTCCCGACTTTCATTTATGAGAAGTCTTACACACGGACTGACTACACACAATCGAAATAATTTGTGAATGACATCTCACCCAAACAAATAACAGTCTCTGCTCCAAACGTTCATTCATTTTTTCGGATAGCCTGTCCAACACTGGTTGAATGTTGTGGCTGCAGAAAGCACAGTTGTGTTGATCTAAGAACATAACAGAAAAACTTGTGGACGTTGTAGTTAACGAAGCAATTCAAATATAGGTTGGCGGATACCTTAGCTTTGATGACCAAACAGCCACCTCAAAATATGACAGACAGACCTGCAAAAATTCAAAGCAACGTGGTTTGAAGTTAAAGTCCCGATTTCTGGTCATCCTTGTAAATGGACTGCCCAGAAGCATTCCATTCAAATCAAGAATAAGAAGCTTCTTCTCTGAATCATTGGCGGACGCAAGTTCTGGCGGACTTGTTTTCAGGCTTGTACCTTCGGCTGGGGAAAAAATTGAAGGCATACAGCATTTCAGCACACGGATTTTGCATGTGAGATCCAATTTGAATGTCATAATGCGATATCAAACAATCAAAATTGGAATGTGTAAAGCAAAGTTCTGGGCTCGAGAATATATTAGCCAGATTTGTGAGCAGCAGCCCTGCAATAATATCATAGCTGGAGTAGAAAACCAATTTGTGACCGCGATGGTCACGAGGAGATGCATCGGCACAGAGGTACATACACTTTTTATGGTTTCGTCTAAACAATGATTAATTTCGTACCAAGAATTTGCTACAGCCCTAAAGAATTTAAAATTTATTATTGCCTTCATATGCAACGAACCAATTATAGTAAAGGCGAGACAAAATGTACCGTTCCCTGTTTCCTGATGCCCCACATCCTTGGTAGCATCACCTTGCAAATGTCCTCTGGTTACAGCCTCATGTGCCTGTTTATTTTCTATCAGGAAAGCAGCATAAGCGAACGGGTCCGCAAGTTTCCCCAAAGCGATCTTCCAGTCAATAAATTTTTTAGCAATGACAACATCAAACTGTACATACATTCAGAAACAATGTCAGACGCAATAGAGGTGATGTTGCCACAAGGGGTTGTCCATTTGTGCACTTACAAATTGTGGCCGACACCCCTTTGCCCAACATTGCGCAAACTTCAAAGTGAAAACCCAGCAACTCGCCGCGTCTGTCTGTTTTAGTTTGTGTTTTACAACAATAAATGTCCAGGGGTGATTTTCATGGAAAATTTCCATCAAAATCCATTCCTAAAAAAGGAAATAAATACAGCAAGTATCGAATGTTAGAAATATGTTACCTTGTTCGCAAATGAAGCTAAGGTACGCTTTTGAAGTTTACTCACCACAGATTGCATCAAACCTTGGTAGAAGGTTTTGTAATTGTCCATAGAATCAACAATGTACACTTGTTTGTCCTTGACATGTGCAATCATGAGCAACCAATGATTTGAATAAACGATTGGGAAAAAAATCTGCAATCGCATACAACAGGCAATGTTGAATGTGTTAAAAGCTAAGGCATGTTAGGCTGAATCCAATTCCACTAACATGCAGGTGCAACTCATATTGTATAAGAATGTAAAGGCGAGAATGATAGCTAATGTTTACTTTTTCAGGATTTGTCATGGAGTCGTCATTGCTCTGTTCAACGAATATTTTTTTGGTTGCGGGAGATATGCATGGATAGTCTAACACGCATTTCAGCTACAACGAAGTGATTGAGAAGCAAGTATTAGGTCCACATTTTGCAAGGCACAACAGCACATACAATAATTTTCGTTACGTACCCAAAACATAGGATTGAAGAAAACAAATTGCTTATATTTTTTCTGGAGTAAGTGAAGGTAGTGGGTCACAACCTTCACAGAATGGAACAAATTCAAACATTCAACATTCAGTTTTTAATTTTAGCGACATTACTGAACAAGGTACGCCTGTGCAATCGCATAAAAAACTTACTCTGTCACTGAGACATGTCTCCAGAAGCATCACTTGCTCCAGTTCTTCTCTTGTAATATCAAAGAGATGCTGCCTATCTAGTGTACTGACACAGCTGCGAACAATGATTGACATGAGTGCAATAATCAGATGAAAGCGAGATCAGTGATAGCCATTGACAGTACCGATATTTTAACATACATCTGCGGGACGAGGTGTCTGACATGAAAGCATACGGCTTCTTTCAATTCATCAGGTGCTACGCCGGAGGCTTGTGGTACACACTGGATAATAAAGGTATTAGCATATATAAAGTAGATTACAGGAGAGCGCAAGAGCATGTTTTACATCTCGTAGAAATGGCAATTCCTCAAATCTCCTGTCCATCACTTTGTTGGCACCAACCCGTTGTAAAATTTGTGTCACTTTATCCACAACCTATTGATACAAATATTGGGTTATGCTCCTGTGTTGCCATCGAGAAGAAGAAACAAAAAGCAGTACAATAACATTGTCACATACACTTGCCCCTTTTGTGGTTTGTTCAGATAGTATGACAACATCTTCAATGTGTGCCTTTTCCCCCACAACCGGCGTCACCTCGACCCCAGCACACTTCCCCCCCTTATCCATCTCTTTTATTTCTGAAACTTTTGTATTCGCGTCCCCAGTCGGACCATTAACATCATAAGAGGTATAGGATTTCTTCCACATCCAACCACCATCTTCAGATTTGAATGCCAGTTTTTTTAAGTATGATACTCCCATCTTTTGGGCGTAAAATCCTTTGTCAACATGGTCAGCCAAGAATGGCACATTAAAGCGCCTAAAGAGCCTGGTCAGCAACATACCAAAAGGGAGATGTGTTCTCTTATTCTCCCTGCTCTTAATCTTCCTAATCCTGTTGAGCATTGTTGCAATGATCAAATTGCCTATGTTGACGGGTTGTTTGTGTAACATATGCCACAATATAACTCTTTCTAATGCACTAACGGAAATGATACTTCCGGCTTTGGGTAAAATGTTATGAGTTATTATCAGATGTAACAGCCGTGGCAACACTTTCATATACGGCCCATAAAACTTAGTTTTTTTCCCCATGTTCATAACTCTGTCACCATTTTGCCTAATCTCTCCAAGAAATTGTAGGTCATTGTACCCCTTCACAGCAACCTTATCTACATTCTTTGCGCTAATCCGTTTATAGTCAACCGTGTATCCACTGTCAACCAACCCAAACTCTGAACACAAAACCTCAGTAGACAATTCCATGTGTACATTCCTAACCACTGAACGCAGAACAGACTTCTGCTTATTTGCCCTACAGTTAGCATAGAATTCCCTAACCATCGCAGCATAGCACTTGTCATTATGTGCCAGCAAATTTAACAAATTTTGGGCATTAAGATATTCCGTGATATCCATACACTCACCAGCGAGAGCTTCTACGTCGACCCACATGCCTGCATAAACTGGAAGACTCATATAGGCCTCCATAACACTGGCTATGCTTGCTTCGGGATGCGATTCAAGTGTTGAGTAGTTTGAGCAACAGAGGAAGCGAACGCGATAAATCCGATTTATTTGGACCTTGGCGCCCAAAACTGTTCGAAATGCTCCAAATTTCAGAAGGGGGGGAAAGTTTAAACCGAAACTGTTCAGTGTGTTCACACAACAAGGGAAGCAATATTTGATGGGCTTAACAGGAGAAACGATGAGAATGTAAAGAAAGGCAAGCTTTTTGTGGGATAATTGATCAGGCGGGGACGGGCGTGGAGGGAGGCAAACCCGTTTTAGTCAAACGAAAATCAGCCCCATTCCGTATTGGAGCGTGTATTCCGGAGCGGGTTATGCGGAAGCCAAACCCGCAAGGGGTTACATTACAATCTATTCATAATAACAAATGTAATTATATATTTATATAATTTATTAATATTAATTACACATATATTATAAGGGATACTTTCAGAAACCTCCCCTGAATTAGCTTATGAAAAAATCAGAAAATGGATAATTTGTGGACGATAGCCAAAAAGAGCTGGCGTTTTATTCAAGAACTTGTTTAATTTCATTTAATCCCATAAATAAATTTGTTGACGTAAATCGATTTTATTGTAAAGGGAAGCCATAAAAAGCTGTTCTTATATTGTACTGGAGTTTATTTTTATAAATTTATCCAATAAATAAATTTAGTTATAGCAAAAACGATTCTCTGTTGTTGCCCTGGAGGAAAGCCATAAAGCGTTCAGAAACATTAACGTAAATGGATTTGATTTTTATTTTAGGCGATAAATATAATTTTATTTACGCAAAAATGGGTATTCTGTTCTTATAATGGAGGAAAGCCATAAAGAGTTGGTCAATTAACGTAAATCGATTTTATTGAACTTTTACCCGATAAAAAAAATTAATTTATGGCAGCCAGGCTTACTCTGTTGTTATCTATTTCCAGGAAAGCCATAAAGAGTTGGGCTTTTACGAGAATATGATATTTTGCAGAACATACAAGGGCCAACATAAGCTATTGTTAGTGACTCAAACCAGTAATATTAAGAGAGTACGAAGTTTAGGCTGTTGAGTAGGACCGAAATAGCAAGCAAGGTACAATTCTTGTGAACCAAGTTCTCAAAAGAGATGGGGATCATTTGAAAAGAAATCTTAATGCAAAATTATTTCCGGTTTCTACGTCAACATCTCCGGTGGTTATGTATTGAGAGTTGGAGGTACATGAGAATTTAGTGCATCCAATTGCATTTCTTTTACTTATTGGCTCATTAAATTTTATGTCTATGAAGTTTATTAAAAGTTTTATTACGACTTCTTGGAATACATGTAATTGATCAATGGCTAACACAGCTAATCATCTTAAGCAATGCAACGGGTACTCTGTTCTTATTTATTTCCAGGAAAGCCATAAAGAGCTGGGCTTTTACGACAAAGTGATACTTTGCAGAACATACAAGGGTCAACATAAGCTATTGTTAGGGACTAAAACCAGTAATACTAAGAGAGTACGAACTAGCGGTCAATTCAGTGAAAAAACATAATTATTTGGTACACGGTGGTGACAAAAATACGCAGTAAAAGGAGTTATGAACATTGTATCTTATACACTAACGGTTCGGTAGGGCGGCACAAACTCCAACTTCTTCATCGCAAGCGCAGCCTTCACATGTACTCTCCTCCACGTCATCGACATCCATAGGCCATGAAGATGTTTTCCTCTCGTGTGTCATGGCACAACAAATGGGCGTTGGGTTTAGAAACACAGGATTCTTGACCCATATCATCCTCAGCAGCGCTCGCAAATTTTCACGACAAAGTTTCAATCCCCATTGCAACCCGGTCAGCAGTCGCATGCCTCTACGCTTTAACTCGTCGGTACCAACAAAGATGTAAATGATTCCCAACGCATATGCAGCGTCGGGGTGGCCGGAATTGGCAGCGTCTTCGAGGCATTCCAACGAACGGTCCAAATGCTTGTCCGAAAAATAGTCAACCTAAGCAGTGCAAGGTTGATATTAAACTCTTGCGTAAAACTGATTGAAATAGTAACGAAAAAGTCAAAAAGTCCAGGCGGACCAGTGGCAGCGGGACAAGAATTATGTAGTCATGACCAAAGCACCACAGTGATGAGTGGGGGTAAGGCTAATCTAGCTAAACTTAGACCCTAAACTTAAATTAACCACAAAATAAAGAACTATCCATCTTAACAATTTTTGACGAAGAATAAGAAGCATTCTCTTCTATGTTGAAAGTCAGATATTTTTCACTGACAAACAGTGGCACTGTTTACCCATCAAACTCAAATTGGTATTGCCACACTGATCTATTTAATCACCTCGTGTATCTCAATTTCTGTACTGCCAGATTTGCCAAAATGTTCCTAGAAATGTTCATAATGTGCAAATAGATGGGCCACAAATGAGCATCTATGAGGTTGTTTTCTACATTTCGAGTTTGCAAACTTTCTTATGTAACTTTCTCTGCTACTCAGAATTCTTGAAGTTATCTTCAGAAGCACTGCTAGCCAGACAAAATTTCACATAATAGCAATTTTTTGTTAACCAAAAAAGTTGAGTAAAATGTAAAGAATTGGCAATATAGAATATTGATGTCATTGATGCTGAGATAATTCTGCCCCAATACTATGATAACATATTCTTAACCAGACATGAGCTTCTTTTTGACCAAACAATGTTCAACAGAAGCAAGGCAAGCATCTATGAAAATTCAAGGTCATAAACAGGTGGTGCACGTCATCTTAAAGTATGGGTTGTATATATCTTTTGGGGGTAAAGTTTGCAGACCAAAATCACAATGAAGTTCAAGCAAACGGGACATCGGCGCGATGCTTACCACGGCTTTGCGATACACCGCTTTTGGATTTTTGCATTGTCTGCACTTCTTCAGGAACCTGGACACTTTGTCGATTTTGTGCCAGGGGACGATTTCAAACTTCTGCAGTGACACCCGCTGGTATATGGTGTCTGCGTCGGACACCTCGTTAAACAACTTACAGCTGCAAAATAAGAGAAATGATCCATTAAACTCAAACGAAAAGCACATGTCAAACAAGAATAGGCCTCTTCCTGTGTGTATTAAGAGAGTATAACGAACCATAGTTTTGCGCTAAAAAGATCAGTCGACGAAGATGATCCCACACGTGCAAGCACCTTCGATAGCACATCGGTCGGAAGGGAGAGGATGGAGGTAGTTGAATTCCGTTTTTGTTCGTTGGCCATGTCGGGTTAACACCTTTTACTGCCAACAGTTGAGTGAATCCGTCAAAACCCCAAGAATGGAGTAAACTTCAAACAACACGTACTTCCTAATAAAATGCAATAACGATTAATACGGTTATATTGGACTTCCCCAATTTCTGGGACACCGACTAACCGTAGCGATAAAAGAACAGAAAAATGGGACAGTGGCGCCTTCTCCTGCAAACGACGCAACATTCTGTCGTCAAAAAATAGTCATCCGAAACAACTTATTAAACCGAACAACGTATATGTCAATACGGTAAAATCATTGTAGCCGTAACAATACATGAACAGTCACTGTAGTACACGTTCATCGTAAATTGACCGACATTCATCGCAGACCAAAGGAGCTTCGACGGTGATAAACATTCGGAGACATACTTCGTACCTGTAATGGGTCGTCAACCAGCTTCTACAAGTCGCTAGCACAGATATGGCAGACAGGTCCAGCGGGGTAAATGGCAACCAAAAGGTCGCGTCCCATGGTTATACTCCCGCTACACTGACTCCTCGTATGCTGCCACGGATGTCCCAACTGTAACCCATTAATTGACATGACGCATAAAGAGCTAGTGTTTAGTCGCCAACTGGGGTAAAAGGCATAAAGAGCTGATGTTTATCCTCTGTAAGGGTTTTCTCTATTATAATATGCTTATGTATTATTTTTTGTTATAAACAAATTAAATTAAAACTATAATTCAATTGAAATATGAGAGAAAATGAGTAGAGAATTGTACCTGTAATGGATTGTAACTTGTATACATCCTTGTAATCATAAATCAAGAATTAATACTCTTGGGAATACAAAGGGACATCCACACTTGTAGTTGATTCATAAATTTTTTTTTTTATGTAACTTTCACATATTTGATTTATGTTACACAGAAAACATACTAGGTTTCCTTGGCCCGCTATTTAACCAAAATTTTTCTATACAGAGCCGGTATGTTTCCCATAAAATTCCGGTACAATGCATACCCTACAAAACCTGTCAATTTCGCACAAAGAGCTGGTATGTTATGCGCTATTTGTTTCTCTTTTTTTGAAATAATCATCATACTAAATTTATGTTAACTACATAAATTTAACTTTCAGAAATTGGCGCCAAATAACTTCGTCTATTGCAGCCTAGGAGTAATAATTTTTTAATCACCTTCATTACATATTAAACTTGTGTTATTCTAGTTAAGTGTAATTACCAACCACCAGATACATTTGTCAATCAGTTAACGTACGTAAATTTAAAAGGTGATATAATAATATTTTTACGAAAGGAAAACAAATAGGTTTTGTATTTAACATAAATTAAATACGTCAAAGTTTTAAAAAAAAGGTGATTGCCCACTACTATATCCGTTTTGTATAGGTTTCCTCTATTACCAGTTTCTTCCATATAATTAGTTTAATTAGTTACTTATTTTATGTTAAATAGCTAACATAGTAGTTGACCTAAAATTTATGAAATTCGACATTTTTCCTGGCACAGCAAGGGAACTCCCCAATTATTTGTATTGTACTTACAACCCCTCACCTCTAGTAATCATTGTAATAATTTAATCTTCTTTGAAACTTCTACCAATACAAGGACCAAAGTGGCATCCACGGAATAAAAATACCTTATCACAGATGAAAAAAATAGTAATCAGATTTTGATTGCTGTGTTACAAAAAAACTCAAAAGTAAGGGAGGTAAGTGAAATTTTGAGAAGCTCAGTGGATGCCAGTGAAAGTATCAGAAACCTCACGGGAGGTTTGTGACATTATTCATATTTATTATTGTATTCCTTCGCCGAAACATGAACTAAATAAGCAAACAAATGTGTTGACTACTGTTGGGGAAAACCTATTCCCTCCAACCCCCCAAATTGGTGTTAAAGGACCTGTCCGTGGACACCGTGGGAAGGCAGTGTCCTTGTGTTTGGCAGGGATAAAGTTAGGCGGTGTAGCGGAGGAAATTAACCTTTGCGAATGGCTTCTTCCTCTTCGGCCGGATCGGCCAATAGCAGGGTCTGGCCTACATTATATTGCAATTGTGGTCGAAGCTGTGCAGTTCGTACTGTCTGGAAGTCTGAAGCAAACAGGGGGCGCCACTACTATCGCTGCGCTAACGCCGTGGTAAGTTCTTCATCTTAACTGATACTACAAATATTTCGGATTGCTAAGGTAGTTCTATTGCAGAGGCCTTGTCGAACATTCATTGGCTGGTGTGATGAGTTTGCAAGAGCAACGGGGTTTGAAGTTCCCGATCCCGCCCCGTCAAGTACCGCCCCCTTCAGCAATACACCCGCGGCAGAGGTGTCTGCCATCATACATGAACTCAGAAGCATGCAAAGGAACGTGACGATCCTTAACATTGCTGTGGTAGCTGTGGTGGCGGTTGTCCTTGTTCTGGTTCTCAAACCGTGAATTAATGTGTTGCCGTTGATTGCATTCCCTCCGAACCTCCCCTGTACAGTACTGGACTATGGTGTCCATAAGGATAGAATGGACATTTAGGCTCGTTTAAAGGGTCTTGTAATTTTGGTTGCTGGATGAAAAGGCATTGCCTTTTGTCCATCCGTTGTAAACCGGTGGTTGCCGCATGTGCGACTAAGTTGGTCCAACCGGCGGAGTGTACCGATGTGTAAATGGTGATTTTGCGTTATATAACATACTAGGTTTCCGTATTTGGTTTTTGTTTACATTCTGCATTATGTGGTTTTCCGAAATGCATGTTCCCTTTGTCCCCCGAAATGTGTGTGCGGATGAGGTACTAGGGATCGTTGATTCATCGATGAACGTCATTAATCAATGCGACCGTTGTACCGCTGCGTTGTTAAGTATGAACTTTAGCTTAGCCAGCCAAGTGAACAACCTCAAGCTTACGTACAACCTATTTCTTATGTCGCACAGAATTGTGTTGTTTTATCACAGCGAAATGTGTGGAGTTGAACGACAAAACAAGTTCTTACTTATATATTTCGATTTAAGTACCTCCGCTTACATATCCGACAAACGGTGCACTCCTAATTTTCAGGCCTTGCATATTATCATCCCCTAACCCCTACCCTTCATACGCTTACAATAAAAATCATGCATGGTGCGCCCAACAACAGCAAGGGCCATGAACACACAACCACCCACCATCCAAATATGATCTTCAACAAAAAAATTAAAAGCACACCGCCGTACCTGCGAACCTTCACTCGAAACGCTCCACAATAAGACCAAACATTGGGTTTATGGAGGCAACCGTGGTAGCTAGCCTCAGAAAGCTGCGGTATTTTTTGCGCCGCACAGTGAGGACAAGGCTGTCAATAGCATCTCTGTCTTCAAACGTGATCTCTACAGCTGATGGATTCCAGCAAATGGTTGCGATGTGAAGGTTGTCCGCAATGGCAACGTTGCGTGTCATACTAGCGGGGTACCCCTGGTCAGCCAGAAACCTTGTTACAGACCAGTCTTCAAAGTTGGCGCCGAAGAGGATCCAGACGTCGGTATGGAGCAGTGGTTTTAGACCCAGAAAATGTGCAACAAACTCCTCCTTGCCCGCAAACCATGCATTGTAGGTCATGATGTAAAACGCCTTCAGGTTCTGCATAAGGGGGAGCGGATGGCGGCGCCACTTGACCAGCGACCGGAATACTTCCTCGTTCGCAATGGGGTTGCGAACGGGGATGCAAGACACCAGCATCGACTGTGGAAATTCCGCTCCGGGAAACCTATCTAACCGAACCAGGGCTTCCTCAACTATCCACTTCACTCCAATGTGGTGAAGTGGTAACACCTCATCTTGAAAGTAGCCGACCATGCCTCCGTTGTTGAGGACATGTATTTCAGGAAATCGTCCAAGTGCCATGAGTCAGTCTGGAAAAGGATTTTGGTACGACGAGCCTGGTCGGTTCAGGGGTTACAAAATGCAGAACGAAGCTATTCTTTCGTCTAGTTACGTCTTACAGGTGGTAAACAACTGAAGCGGCCCCTTTATAGCGAAGGCTGTTGTGCGAAACCAATGCGGAAGTGAATGGGCATGCAACGAAGAAGTTTAGTTTCGGGAAGCTCTTATAGGAGGAGATATGGATGACGGACTTGGATTTAAATGGAGGAGCTTGCAGTGCATGGACTGAGTGGTTAAGAGCAGTTTGACCCCTCTCAGGCATCCTTTTGCGGACCACGGTTAACCAACCTAACTTGGGTTAGAGCCATAAAAAGTCACACCTGGCACTGCATCTAAATTTTTATTGGGGAAAATTAGAAGAACCAAATGGCATGCATATTTGTGAATTGCACTACTCCGCTGTAGAAGACCAGCTGTGGACGGGTTCGGCAGGAATATGAGAACAGAGTACCCATTTCCGTAGACAGACATTTTGTTCCTAATACAATATTAACAATGATTATTTCCAATAAAATACCAGCCTTTTATGTGTTTCCGGCATTACAACAACAGGCTACCCATTTTTCCCCCTTTTACCTGTGGGTCGAATAACAATGCAACCATTTTCGAACAAATGACCAGCTGTTTACGGCATTCCTCCATTACAACCAATTACATACCCATTGTTCCATACACAACTTAATTTAAGAGATAAAACACAGATAATAGGTTTTCTAAATAAAACACCACCTATTCAGGGGTTAATCCTCCGTCATAAGATGACGGTACTCATACACCACCAAATTATGTATTCATACACCGACTGAATTAAAAACGGGGTAGATTGGGTTTTTTTCAAAATTTTTTTCCATTAATTAGTTTTTAATATAATTTTTGGATTTTCCCTTTACAAATAGTAGTAATAGTTTAATGGTATGTGCACCTTGATTTTCCTTCATATTTTTGAACTATTCTAGACCATATTATTTTTCTTTTAAAGTATTCATTTGAATTCTAGGCCTGGGATTGTATTGAAAATGAAAATAATATTTTTACATCTTTTTATATTGTGCTACAGAATAATTAATAAAATATATATACATACGTATATATGTATACATATA